GTGGGGGGGAGCGCGAGGGAGAAGAATTCGTGAGCGACTGAAGGTGTTTATCTTGGCTTGGCTAATAACAGAAGCAAAACATGCTGCGTGCAAAAGCTCAAGGCTTCCTAACAACCGCCGCCACAAACACTTCCTTACAGCCTAAATATAAACCGGTTGAGGAATCACACCAATGACCACGATGCGGCGCAAAGTGTCTGGCATGTGCTCAAAGCATTTTCTGCTCTGCAACCTTCCCGTGAGGTGACGTCAACAACACATTCAGCCTGAAAGGGAAAAAAGCTCAGTGGCGGAAAACGTCAACATTTCGGTTCGCTGTGATTCTGTGACTCCGCCCATTTACGGCGGAAGAGCGGGGTCCATGTCATTTCGCAGCGGCACTTACTTGGCTGCCCTGTCTTTGCTTTTCTTGCGAATCTGCCGAATTTTCTTCTCTCCCACTGGTTGCTCTGCTTTCTGTGTGCTTCCCTCTTTGGTTTTTTTCTCGGGCCGAGTGGAGCAACCGGACGAATCCTCGTTGCTCAAGGTGTTGGTGGGCTTGAAAGGGTCCACGGAGTCGTCAAACTTGTCCGGGTCGAAAGTGTAGGAGCTTTTGGGGAGCACCGGAGAATTGCTCAAAGTGCTGTTGCTCCCAAATGGATTGAAGTTGGGGTCATCCCACTGACTGGGATCAAAGTTATACGTTCCTTTGCTCGGAATGGGAACGTCATCCAGGTTTAGAGGCACAGCGGTGTCCGAAATTTGCACGTTGGTCTCTGGTGCTTTCTCAGACACCGATTCTGGCGCCGCGGGTTCTGGTGCTGGTTCGCAGGGAGGCTCTGACGTTTTGGGCCTGACTTGCTTCTTGACTTTGCTGGCTGTTTTTCTGCATCCTAATTTCTTTGGAGGCGGTTTGCTCACCGCCCCCTCGTCCGGACCAAACTCCAGCATCACAGCTTTTGCCTCCGAGTGCGATTCTTCACTTGGCGGCGCCGCGCTGTCTTCGGTCCGAGAGCTCCCGAGCGGCTCGGGCCTGGGGAAAGTTATTGTACCGCATGGCGGTCATGTTTCTCGACTTTACAGGGGTTCCTGTGAGACAAAAAAAAATAAATAAATAAAATAAAAATATATGTTTGAAGCCTTGAGACTTCAATGTAACTCAAAGATGCTATTGAAGTGGGGCCAGTTGAAAATCTGACACTAGCTGCTTCACATGCTTCTTTTAGAGTCACTGACCGACAGCACCGAGCCCGACGATATTTCGATAGGCCGCGGGCATGCTTCAAACAAAGCGGGCATTAATAGTGATCGTACTTACAACATAAAACAGAGAAACTTGGCTTGTTCAGATGTCCTGAGGCCGACAGAAGTAGATGAAAAGTGGAGATTTGGGGGGG